GCCTGATTTTCAAACATGCTCAGTTTGCTCTCAGTAGAAGCCCCGCGGTGTTCAACACTTTTGAAAATCCAGCTACATATTTAGGTGCCTGAATGGTGTTAGAGAAAAGAAACTGCCCCCCCAGTAAAAAAGTTTGGCCAGGCCGCTCTTGCTATAGTGGGCTGCAGTACTCCTTGGGAGAAACTGGCCGCACCCTTCCTGCATACCATTGCCTTTAGAAAAAGGGAAGGTGTGAAAAGGGGAAAATAGCCTCAGATTCTCCCACCTTGGCATGAGAGCTGTGGGGCTTACCTGGTCGAATTAAACCTGCACAGTTTCGGCCCAACCCCTGGGACACAGACCCCCCCACCTTGTTGACCATTGGGCCATATATGGTAATATGCAAGCGCGGGAAAGCGATGTGCAGATTTGGGGATAAATATCCATCGCACAGTTCGCTCTAGGAGGTCTTCACAACACGCATACCACCGTGCGTGTGCCTTCTCGTATACTTCAAAGCGCTGCCGGCCTGATCAACCAACCAACCACCTTCCCCGACTCTCGGGCGTAACCAAGGCCTTCGCAACCGAACCAATATTTGTGAAATGTTCCGTGTGCTGTGTAAGTTGGTATGTAGGATTTGATTTTTTTCCTGTTGTATAAGCTTAGTGTTGTAGTTGTTTTTGGGTAGTACATAAGAGTTTGTAGTTATCACTGTTATTTAATTACTGTAGCTGGATAGTTTAAGATTAGAGACTATTCCCCTTGCCATTCCCATCCTTGTATCTCTGACACGTTTTACTAGAAGCCATAGAATAAATATAATAAATACTGTAAATTCATTATTAACACGGTCTATTAAAAATCTTAGAATAAATACTATAAATTCACCACTGTCATAAATAAATAATTTTTATTTGATAAAACTGTCCACCTGGTTCTTTCCTTCCCCCCTTGAGTATGCATCATCGGACCTGTGATTCTTGCGACAAATGGGATCTGAGCTCTTCTGAAAACCTATCCCATTGTGTTTATGTATACCAAAAATCACACAAAGAACATAATTGAGGTTACCAAGTCAAGCACTCAAAAGTTAGGAAATGCCAGAATTAAGGTAGCCTGTTCAATGTTAATTAAGCTTGCTTTTGTGAAGACAGTTCAATTCCTATGAAATTCTGCCAGAAACCAGGCACATTTCCAACAGAACCCTTCCTGCCATGTAGATTTTGGAACCATTCTAGTTTCTTCCCACCTCACTCTCTGGCTCCTCAGCAGGAGCAGCTCGAGGAGAGCTGCCGGCAACTGGCGCCTTAGGCGGAATGCCCGATTGGCACCCCCGCCTCCATATTCCTCAATGGCATGACATTAAACGCGGTGCCCTAGGCAACTGCCGAGGTTGCCTACATCCACGGACCGCCCCTGCTCCTCAGCAGCCCATGCAGCAGGCTGTAAGAGAGACAAAAGCCTCGGAGCTCCGGGTCTCAGTTCCTCAGCAGGTCAGCCTCCCAGGCCTGTCAGATTTCAAGTCCCTGCTCCACAGTATAAGGACATAATAGCTTCTCATAGAAAAGGTCACCGCATTGTATTCATATAAGCAGAACCATGTGTTTTCCCCTAGCCTTGTTCTTGGAAATGGCCAAACCATTTTGGCTGACACGTTTCAAAAAATTCAACCTGAGGGGGATACCTAGCATGGGAATCATTTCAGCCTAAATGAATTCAGATTGACAGTTATAAAGCAACCAAAACCATGATCTTATAAAGGGAAGTGTCAGGCAACCTTCATATTAGAGGATGCTACCAGTTCTGCCTATAATATTATTGTGACATGTACCGTATATCTTTACCAGCATACGCATACAAATCCATACTCCGTCATTATCTATCTGTCATAAACTAAACAGTTAACAAGAAAAACAAGACTAGAAAATACTATATTTTGCAGTGGCATTGATTAAGTATTGGATACAGGGCCCTGGTGGTGAAAAGCAGCCTCTAAAGGATGTGGGGTAGAGACTGCAGTGGTATAATCACTACTGGCCCTGAAGAGGGCAAGCACAGCCCCAAGGAGAACAAAAAACAGGACTATGTAGCACTTTAAAGACTAACAAGATGGTTTATTAGGTGATGAGCTTTCAGTGTCACTCAAGGACCAGATATGGCCAGGGTGGCTGGTGGGTGCACTGATTCAGTGTATGCCAAAGAAACCTCTGCTGGCAAGACTCCTACTGCTGACAGAATCTAAGGCCACCAAAGTGAGTCCCCGATGAACTGAGTAAGAGAGCAATTCCACAGCCTGGGACTCTGCACTGAAAACACCTAGGCACCAATCATCGCACCCCAGGAATGAAAGCTATGTTCAGCCGGTCTCAATTGCTCCCATGGACATCTACGAAGAAGAAGGTTTGATTCTCACTGCCTTACTCCTGTGCAAAGTGGCTGAAAAGTGTTATCAGAACCAATGAATCCTCTCACTTACACATGTAAAAGCTGTGAGGCAGTGGAGAATCAAGCCTGCCCTCCAGGGCAAGATCGGTTACTATTTGCTCCATTTACAAGTCAGATTCTTCTCTGCTTTATATTTTAGAGATGCACTCTGGTTGGAGAAGGAACATAAAAAGGGCCTCTTAAAGTAAGACATGAATGAGTGGCTCATTATGAGCCTCTTCCTCATGTATCTCAAGTCCCCTGTACACTTTTTTTAAAGCCCTGTTGCAGTGCCAGTTAGGTAAAGGGGCCTTGGTGTAAAGGAGGATGGTTTAATTGCTAACTGAGTATGCTTCCCCATAATAGGAGTCACACCTGTAGGTCACAATAGAGCTGTACCTTAGCCCAGGGAAAACAGGGGACTGAATGTTGGACATGGTACCATGGGTACATTGGACATAAATTCCTAGTCAAAACAATAATCCTGGCAGGAATGTTTCTTGACAAATTCAGGCCTGGACACAGGAATTTCCGGGGGTTGGGGCGTGCTTTTTTTGTAAATGTGGACTGCAACTTTTTTAAATATAAAGGAGTTCAAAAATAGTCATGCAATAAGTGTGCATCAGAGAGGTTGATAAAACAATTGAGTGGAAACAGTGATTGGTAAATGATTTTGTTATACACTCTGGCTACGTCTACATTGGCAAGATTTTGCGCAAATACTCTTTAATGCAAGAGTTTTTGCGTTAGAGTATTTGCTCAAGAGAGCATCTACACTGGCATGTGCTTTTGCGCAAAAACATCCGTGCCAGTGTAGATGCTCTCTTGCGCAAGCAAGCTCTGATGGCCATTTTAACCATAGGGCTTTCTTGTGCAAGAAATTCATGTTGCCTGTCTACACTGGCCTCTTGCACAAGAACACTTGCCCAAGAGGGCTTATTCCTGAGGGGGGGCCTCATAGTTCTTGCGCAAGAAGCCCTGATTTCATACATTAGAACGTCAGTGTTCTTGCGCAAGAATTCCCCGCCAGTGTAGACAGGCAGCAAGTTTTTGCACAAAAGCAGCTGCTTTTGTGCAAAATCTTGCCAATGTAGACACAGCCCCCCTCTCTCTTTCTCTCTTTCTGTAGGCCACCATGATTGCACGTACACCCACACGCTGCAGGCCACTGTGATCACATGTGCAAGCACACAGACACAGGCATTCTGCAGGCCATGGTGATCTCTCTCTCTCTGTCACACACACACACACAGGCTGTAGGTCACTGAGGGACATGTGTATGAGGTTTAAGGTGACACGCAAAGCCAAGCGAAGGCCCAGCAGCCTTGCGGGTTGTTGCCTCCCAGTGACCCCAGGGAGCTAATTAGCAACCTGCCCCAGAGAAGCAGCCACAACCCAGCTCCTGCCCTAGGAAAACCCGTGTTCCCCCACCAGGTGCCCATCATTGCTGGGACACTTTGTACCCAAACTTTTGTGCTCCAGCACCGCTCGCTTTGCAGCACTGCACCCAAGGCACCTCCAACCCCACAGAGTGCCTTTACTAGCACGGTGGTGCAAAGGGAAATTGTCCCTTGCTCTAATCCTAGCCCGAGGGGATCACTGGGGGCTCCAAGGGAGTGAGTGCTCAGGGACAGGCAGGGGGTAACGTGCTTCTCCCTAGACAATGGCTGTGGGAACACAGGGCCTGCTTCCTGGTGAGCCTGCAAGTAGCCACCCACCGGTGAGCTCAGAACTGGGCTGTGCCTTCCTGGAGGAACCGAGCTGCAGTGCCTGGCCACATGCATTCCAAGGGGCAGCCAGAGCCTGGGACCTGCAGTGCTCGCTGGCTCCCTCTCCCACTGCGTGGCAGGCAGGGTCCGGGAGGAGGGGGGGGGGAAGATGTGATGTTCCAGAGACTGGCTGGTGGGGGCTTTGCTCTTCCTTGGGCTGCTCTGAGGCCACTTTGGTGGCTCAGGACTTGTCCCCACCTGGCGAGGGAATAGTCTGCTCGCCTCAGAGCGCAGCACAAACACCCGCCACCTGAATCTCCTTTCCCCTGGAGCTGTGCTTCGCATGCTTGGCCACTGCTTCCTGGCCCCACATGGGGCAACTCCAAGCTTGTTAGTTAACTGGTGAACCCAGCATCTGGGAGACGCTGGTGGGCTTGGGGGTCCCAGTGTGGCGGATGTCTCTGTGTACGGTGGGCGCCTTCCCTCCCCTCACTTAAAACACTGATTTCTTTCCCCTGCCTTGGACAGTCCCGAAACCCCCTTAGCCATTAAAGAGTCCCTGGATCATTATGTGGGGTGCATTTGCACCCTTCGCACACCCCCCCCCCCCCCCCCCCCCGCGTACAGGCCTGTACTGAATGGTTTCCTGAAGGTGACAGGTGTAACCTATTTTTGTTTATCCAGCCAAGGGCATCACTGGTGGTTTCAGAATATGGACCTTTCTGCTGAAGTCAGCAGCACTTTTTTATTGACAGGCCAGAAGGGAACATGCGCTTATCTCCGTTTTTCCTCTCCCAACAGGTGAGATTACAAGATGAGCTTTAAATAGATGGGCTTCAAATAAAGACTGTAATGGATACAATTAAAATGGAAAATTGCCCTCACCTGCCTCCTTTATGTGCTTGTACACATCATCAGAGCCAGCAGAGGAGTATGGGATGTCATCGTGGGCTACAAAATCAATCTGCAAAAGATACAAGAAAAGAAGTAATCAGATGCAAGCATCAAGGAATTTGTACTGGTTTTGGAAGGGCAAATTCTTTTCTGAACTGCATATGCCTGCCTGAGAGAGTCTCATCTGAAAGGTACTATTTAAAACATTGCCCGGTGCTGCAACAGAGGACACAATATGGAAGGGTAATGGAATTCAGGACTTTTGGCTCCAAGGGCATGTCTACACTGGGGACTTGTTTTGAAATAACTTCCCTTATTTTGAAATAACAAGGTGAGCATCCACACTACCAAGCCCGTTATTTCAAAATAATGAGCTTGTTTTTTCAAAATAATAACTCCTGCTTGTGAAGAGGAATAGGCTTACTTTGAAATAGTTATTTGGGGAGTTATTATTTGGAAATGACTTATTTCAAAATAACCTGGTAGTGTACACATAGCCCAAAAGCACAGGTGTCACATACCCTGGCTTTGTGTGTGATGGCATCCTCTGCTCACAAAGGATAAGGGACCTACTGCTGCTGCTGTCACCTACAGGAGCCCTCTTTTAACTTAAGTGGCAGACTTAAGTCAACTTTTAAAACTGAAGAAGCAGGGTTTCTGTTCAGAGCATCCCATATTTGTGTGAATGTGTTTTGTTGATCTAAAAACTATCGAACTGTAGATTTGTTAAAAAAGGATTATTTTACTAGAGCCAAGTAAACTACAGCCAGTGACTTGTAGTTGCATTTGGGTTTATATACACTGCCTGACAGTCACTAATATGTATAATACCTCACATGCACTTGAACAGATCTGAAGTTCATCCATTGGAGGACAGTGACACATGTGCATACTTTTGGCTGACGAATGCACTCAAGGAAATCATTGGGAGATTTGCATTTGCTTCAGTGGGAGCAGCAGAATAGGACTTTATCAGAATGCATGGACCAGGTTTTTAAAGTCCATTTCCCCTTTCTGCATCTGCACTTTGTGGGTGCATTTTAGGGGCATCATTTCAGAAAAATGGGGCCAAGTTTTGTCAGTGTATAGAAGATTATATGGGACTGCATTATATTCTGCAAAATCTGGGGGGCAGGGAAACCAACATCAGAGCACAGAGAACTATGAAAAGTTTGAGGAGGGCAAAGACCATACCCGGGAAGAACAGTTGACTCCTTGAACCATAGGAAATGATAGCCCTGGTACAATTAATTCTTTAGCAGCTGTATGCCACCTGAGGATCCTCCTATGCTAATTAGCTCAAACACACCAAACAATTGAGCCTCGGGTCTCCATCCTCTACGTAGAGACTGATGAGCCCTGGTCTGTGCTACAGAGTTAGGTCAATGCATGGCAACTTATATCAACCCACCTTTATAAGAGCATGTCTACACAGCAGGGCTAAAGCCGAAATAAGCGACTCAACTTGAGCTATGTCAATTGCCCACCTGAAGTTGAGTTTTGGTGCAGGCTACAGAGCCGGAAGTCAAAGGAAGAATGCTCTTCCTTTGACTTCCCTTACTCCTTGTGAAATGATGAGGGTTACAGGAGTTGGAGTAAGAAGTCCTCCAGCTCAACATTATTTTGAAATAATGGCTTGCAGCATAGACTTGCTTTTTATTATTTTGGAATAACGTAAGTTGTTCCAAAATAACGCTGCTGTGTAGACACACCCTGAGTGTCTATGCTAAAATGTTGCTCCTTCCAATATAACTAGCCCACTGCACTGACTTAATAACTCCATCTCTGCAAGGGGCACAGAGATAGTGTTGATATAGTTAGGTTGATGCTGCATCAGTGTAAACACTACATCAACCATTGCTAGTTTCCAAAAGCTGTCCCCCAAAACCCTACAATGTCAATTCAATTGGTGCATGCGCTCCAGGTGAGGATATGTACTGCTGGCACAAGAAGCCAAGAGCAGACACACATAAATAATGTAATTACTGTGCCATCTGTATTAGATTGACTTAACTTTGTAGTGTAGACATGGCCATAAATAATTTATCGTTAGAGTAGTCTCTTATATCTGCTCCTGAACATTAACAAATAAAGAGTATTCTTATTTCTTATAGTGATGCTAACAATAAGCATCTAATCATTACAACCAATTAATTCAGATGAGGGATACCACCATGATCTCTTATCATACCTTTAATCATAATCCTAAGAAATACTTCTCCGTGCTAATTTAGTAGATTTCACTTGCCATGACATCAAGAAGATAATGTACACTTTACTTGTAATATTATAGCCTTGGGCTAAGTTCTCTCTCAGCTGCGCAGCTGCCTAACAAACCCTGTGCAGGAGTGCAGGGTGGCAGCCCAGAGCACCACCTCTCCCCCTGGCTATGGCAGCTCTGTGTTGGGGCGTGGAAAGGGGCACCATGTTGGGCTGGTTGCATCATGCTGGGGCTGAAAAGCGTGCCTCTCCCTTGACCCCCTGCCCAACCCAGAGCTGCCACTGTCACAGGACAAGTGCCCCTTCCCTGGCTCCCACCCAGCCTAGCCTGCACCTGCCCCAGTTAGGGGCCAGACACTTCTCCCCTGGCTGTGCCCACTAAAGCTGCAGTGACTGTAGAGAGGTTCCTTTCACCTGACCCCAAGTTGCTGCAGTGAGAGAAGACTGGGGGGTGGTCTTCTCTTCCTGGGGCAACCTTCTTACTAAACCCCTCATCCTTAGCCCCACCCCAGAGCCAACATCCTTAGCTAAAGCACTCCCTCGGCTCTTCGACACTTTGTTCCTCCCCTCAGCTTCACCCTGCACTCCAAACCCCTCATTCCCAGCTCCACCCTAAAGCCTGCACACTGAGTCAGAGCCCTCACCCTGGACCCGAACTCTCTGCCCCAGCCCTGAGCTCCCTCCTACATCCCACCCTTGGTACCACCCCTGCCATCTTGTCCATATGTGGAATTACTTTTGTTATGTGATATATCACCTCCATAGTTGTGCACATAGCAAAAGTTATTCTGCACATAGACATAAAAAATTAGAGGGAACACGGGCCTTGGGAGTTATACTTTGACAGTATGAACTAACAAACACAGGAGTACCTGGCAAGTTGTGAGTATTTTTAATCCTGTTCCTTTCAAACCCCTGGAAAGTCTCATGCTATAAATCCCTGATGTGCGCTTAGCTCCAAAAGGCTGGGATCTGAGAAGAGTGTTCTATGTTGTTACAGATCAGTGTGTTATTGACCTGCTAGTACTTTGAGTCAGTCTCCAAAAAACAGAATACCTGCCCACTTCTACTTAAATCAAAGAGTCAGAAAACAAAGGGTTTTTTTTAAATTTAAAACTAGCAGGTGCTTTGTAACAATTGGCTGTTGGGAGTTGAATTACTTACTGTATTCCAGCTACCAGTATCTTGTACCCTTGTTATGTGTACATAGGGCTGACAGGTGTCCGTTTTTGGCCCGGACAGTCCGGTAATTGCATCTTCTGTCCGGTTAAAAAAAACAGAAAATTTTCTGTTTTTCTTGGATGGAAGGCAGGCAGGGACATTTAAAGGCTCAGTGGCTTTTTTCTGGTGGCAATCCTTTGTGTACACAGCAGTTACTATACAGAGGGAAGGGAAGAAGTCTGGGAAAAATGGTACCTTATGTTTTTCTAGGAACTCTGGTGTGAGTGTCCATGGAGCATCTCTGATGACTTCATCTACATAGCGGCAGTGTCTGAGTGCCTCATACCGCTCGGTTTCATTCATTACAGTGAAGCCTTTGAACTTGTGGGTTAGATCATCACTGCAAACTGACATACAAACAATTAACACCACATTTCCATATTAACTGTGCACTATACGTGCTTCTGGCTAGTAAGCACTTTCTGGTCAATATCATTATTTTAAAGTTGTTTGAGATACATTCTGTTTTCAAACAAAATAAAGATGTGTCTCTTTCTGTCTTTAGGAGAGAAACAAGAATTGCATACTAAATGGGAGGAATGGCACCACAAGATGCACTCAATGAGGTGTGTGACATCAGATTCTGATCTGGTAGCACTTTATAGACTAACAAAACATGTAGATGGTATCATGAGCTTTCATGGATTCTGGTTCAGTGCAAATTTTATATGAGGATTCATGGTTGACAATTTTCCACACCCACCGAGAGACAACACAAGGAGAAGCTGATGAAGATGGCTGAAAGCTTGCTGCCCCCACAACAGAACAGTGAGTGAAATTCTGGCCTCATTGAACTCAGTGGGAATTTTGCCATTAACTTTTAAAGAGAAGCCAGGGTTTCACTTAATAGCTCCCTCCCCAGTTTGAGACAATAGTCTCTAAAAAAAGCAGTGCTTTCCCTCTACTCTCTCTGGTTGAACTGGAAGAACATCAGAAATTCTCTCAAGCTTTTCCTCCATTATTGAATAAATCTTCCCCTTACCTCCATATGAATTAAAATAATTTAAGTGTAAAACCAAAATGTAAATAAGAATGAGATATTGCTTTTCCACTTTTTGGAGGGCTGAGACAATAATACAAAATAATGTCTCATACTATTCATTTGAATGTTTTAATGAACTCTCTTGAGTCATACTTTGTTAATGTTTGAGCAGTAGAATTTTACCTTTTTTTTATAATCCTGAGCTTGTAAATAAAAAGATGAAAACTCATATGGAGACATTCTGCCCTCAGAAACATGCAGACATCTCCATTTTGGGAACTGTGCATATGGAGCTGAAAACAGAGTTTGACTTCATTCTTACCTTGTTTGACATAACTTTAAGATGGAGTATTTTTTAAGGCATAAAACACTACTGAGACAGGAAAATATGCTCAAACAGAGGATATAAGCAACTGAGAACATGGCAACAATGCAATCTTAGAATCTTACCTCCTACTAATAAGTAGCTATTCGGGAATAAAGTTTTGGCTTGCATAAGAGCTCTAGCATGGCCAGAGTGGAAGAGATCAAATATTCCATCTGCATACACTCTAACTGGTCTGTCAACTGCGGGGAAAGAAACACAACAACAATTTCCAGCTTTAAACAGGAGTAAATCTAGCTGTCGCATTTAGTCTTTTGTAGGAATGTTATGGGTTTTTCCCCTCAGATATGCAAAATCACAGTGAGTAAATTTAAAATGTTTTATTCTTCTTACTCTTCTGCATCTTCTTTATTGTGTTCTCAAGTTGGCCTCTTTATTAACCTCCCTTTTTCCCTGAATTCTCTCTTGGAAAAAAATATCTTCTTCCTGTCTCCCTCCATTTGTGTCAACTCACTTTTTTCCCCTGATCCCTCCTTTTTTCTCTTCCTCAGCGTAGTGCTGTACATACACGTTCATTTCCTCTTGTATATACATCTTTCCTCTTCCCCAAGACTCTTCTCCACTCTAATTAACCTTCTTATCTTCCCCATTCTTATTACCTCCTCCTATTTTGTCCCTACTATCCATCTCTTCCCGCACCCCACTCATCCTGTCTGGGCTTGGAGCTGCGGGTCTAAACAAGAACTGCTTCACTAAGTGGCATGCCAGCCCACTTTGTTGACCTAGGCAGTCCCTGTACAACTAAAAGACAAACAAATGGGACCCTGACCCCCAGAGCTGCTGCTGCAATGCAGAAGAAAGAAATGCCAGGGTGCTCAGGATGACCATATCTCCCATGACTCAGGTAAAAAATGTGGAGAAAACCATATTTCTTGGAAAACTTACTGGGAAAATGGAGATAGTTCATCAATGTGAGGTAACAGGCAGCTTTTTGGGGGCCTGTAAAACCATCAGTTGATATCCTCCTCATCCTCTGAATGATACTTGCTCCAAAACATGACCTACCCTAAACTCTTCTACCATAAAAAGAGATTACAGGAGTAAGTCAGTTCTGCAGAAAAGGGGAACAGGTGAAGTGTTTAACACGTGTGTGTGTGTTATGTAGTGGGAGTTAAGAAAATATTAGATGAAAATTTCCATTTAGACAGGTAGAGGGAGGGACTTGTAATGTGGCCAACCAGGGTCTCAATAAATGGCTCCCTGATTCCGGAGAGCTTTAATTATTATCCATCAGCATACATCAGTTCACGCCCCACATCAGTTGGAATGGGAGAATGGGCGCCAAACATTACACTCCCTTTGTGGGGGCCCTGATGCTATAGTAGAGCCAGCACTACAGGCCTTGACTGCTGTAACTGTAACATCAGAAAGGCAGAAGTCATTTCCCACCACACCACACAGGTATTCAGGAAGAGTACATTCGTACACTCATAAGCTATGTCAGAGGATATATATCATCCCTGTGATTCAAAAACCATGAAGTGTGTTTCAAAATGAGGGAAACACTGACTTTAGCCAGGAAACCATATGATTTCAATATGCAAATAACCTCTGTGTGATGATCTGCTGAGTTACCTCTTATATCCAAACTAACTGCCCAGCATGTTCATAACTGTTTAAAAATTAATCCATCTCTTTTAACAATTATATTAAAATGTCTGATCTATCTTTCTAAAAAAAAAAAAAATCCTTTTGTTACACCTTCTTAATCCCCAGCCAGGTAGCCCAAATGCACCTCCTTCTCCCAAATGAAGAGTGCTATTGTAATAGTGAAATACTGTCTGTGAGAGCTGCTTTTAGTCCTTTTCATGCTGCTATCACTGATGCAAAGAAGTCTAATTAATCCAGACTCACCTGGTGTTCCCAGGTGGGCCTGAGAGATGGTTAGTTTCTCGTGTGGGGCTTGGCACTGACAGCTTATTTCATCTGCAAATGGAGCAGGTGCAGCCAGAGTCTGGAAGGCAATGGAGGGACAGAGAAAGGGGGGAAAAAAAGCAAAAATTACATGAGCAAATATCCAGTTCATTCTTTAACCAGGAAGTCAAACCTGAATCACTTCATTGAATGTCAGTGAGTCCTATGGCATAATGTGGCATAATGATGATTTGTTTCCTTTCTTCCGTTACTCATGAGCACACACAAATGGTACAAAAAGCATCCATTGGGCACTGAAGAGAGTATGGGGTTTTAAAAACATCACACAAACTAAACTTTGCTCTTAGTCAAGAAGCTCCAATGTTCTGAAAATGGTTCAGGAAGGAAAATAAATAATCTATCCACACATTGCATTCAGGTCTTTCTGGCCACAGGCTCAAAGTATCAGAAGTTTAGTTCTTGGACTGTGAGTTGTTTAAGCGTTTTTTTTCTCTGTCCTAAGTCTTGTGTACTGAGGCAATCTCAAACAATCAGATAGGATGGTAGCTTGTCTGCTAGAGGATACAGTCAGGGTGGAGTAGGTGTCCATTTTCCTTAGCATCTTTACTGCAGTTTTCAGACAAAACATCTACCGGTAGTTTTTGCTATTTATCACTTGTGAATGTGGGACAGTTGCAGTTAGATCAATTTCCAAATGCCCCAGAGGTAAAATGTTCACATATATATTAAAATTAACTTAAAAGCTCATTAGGCACTAGGATTTTGGAAAATACTAAGGGTATGTCTACAGTACAGGACAAAGTCGAATTAAGATACACAACTTCTGCTTCATTAATTGCATAGCTAAAGTCAAAGTAGCTTAACTTGGCTTTTGGCACTGTCTACACTGCAGGAAGTTGGAGGGAGAACACTCTTCTTCCAACTTCCCTTACTCCTCATGAAAGCAGGGTTACCAGCATCGACCGGAGCACACCTCTCACTTCGAATTAGCTATCTTAACTGGACCGCTAATTCAAATCCTGGAAGATCAATAGCGGCAGCTTCAATCTTCCTGTGTAGTGTAGACGTATTCTAACTGACCACCTCTTCACTAGCTTTTCAGTGGTTTGGGCACAAACTCCATCCAGTAACAAAAATTAGATATAAATTACTTGTGCTGAATTAGTCCTTGATACTTTGTTTAATTTATTTATAAAGGACATACAAAGTCAGGTCTGGACTAAAGTAAGAAATTCCAGTGAAATTCATTTTTCATTATTATTAATGTTTTAATAATAATGCGGAAATGCTTGGACACTGTGCGGTCAGGCTCCATTTTGTTAGATGATCTACATACTTGTAATAAGAAACAGTGCCTGAAGAGTGACGAGGAGTCCTGTGGCACCTTATAGACTAACTGAAGTGTAGGAGCATAAGCTTTCGTGGGCAAAGACCCACTTCGTCAGATGCATGACATGCATCTGACGAAGTGGGTCTTTGCCCACGAAAGCTTATGCTCCTACACTTCAGTTAGTCTATAAGGTGCCACAGGACTCCTCGTCGCTTTTGCAGATTCAGACTAACACGGCTACCCCTCTGATACTTGAGTGCCTGAAGAGTTTGTTTAAAGACACAGGAAAAACAGAAATGAGGTGGTACTACCCCTAATTTACAGATAGCAATCTCCTGATGCAATGGGAGATTAAATATTGTCTCAAAGATCACACAGGAAATTACAATCACTGCTATTATATGCTTGGCCCCTTGTGATTTGATATAGGGGGAAATACCATTTACTTTTTAGTTTTGAAATCTTCATTAGTTAAAAGTAGTAATAAAACAAAAATAAAAAGGTTTCCTTTTTTTTTGTCAAAAGCAAATACATCCTCATTAGTCTTTGCCATGGTGTATTTGGGATTTCATGGCCTTGCATCATCTGTTTTGTTCTGTTCTTCAGAAGAGACCAAATGAAGCACATTATGTTGTCATATCTGTTATCTCAGCACTCATTATGGCCATAATAAAATATTTCTTGCCCTTTATTTACATTTTTCAATACTTCTCAGACACCTATGTCATTTAGTGGGTACTTCTCAGCAAACCATATTACATACTATCTCCTTTTAACAAAAATTGCCCTCTTCTCTCTTTTTTTCTTGGAATGGTTGTTATGTTTTCTTATGATGATAAATCTCCATACTTAACAGACACTGGCTTTAACTTGCAATGGAACTTTTGTTTCTTGACTTTAAAGAGTGGGTTCCATTGTCCCATTGATGGCATCAAGGTAAATTCTAGCATTCATTGGTAGCCTATCTTGGTCTTGCGTGTGATTTACCATCAATATTGATTTTATAAAACTTTCACCATTCCTACAGATTTAAAAATCTACTATATGGCAGGGAAGCATCCTTACTTTCACTGATGCCTCCATAATTTTAAATGTAACTGTTGTATACTGACATGATTAAAAATAAAATATGGGAAAACCAAACTTGCTGTTTGGGTTCTGTGGAAGGGTATCCTGATCAACTAGCTGCCCACGTAGCACAGTGTACACTCATTTTCTTTATTTTCTAATGACTGTCTTTTTGCTTCTGTCTTTGTGATTGTGGAGTGCTGAACGGCCTTTTTAGCTCCAAGCAATGTCAAGTTATACAACATCCGACATAGGCTGCTTCACGCTGTGATAAAGAGGAGGGCAGGAATGTTAAAACAATAATGGCTATGGTCTGAGGCCTGCAACTGGTAATCACACCCTAGTTAGGTACAGACTGTTTCCTGGGAGACTATTTGAAGAAAATAGGTCTGTTTTGCAGCAAGAGATTTTTTTTTTCTTTTCTAGTCAAACAGAGAAAACCTTTTACCCATATACATTTCTTTTCAAGACTGAGCAGCTTTTTCTCTCAGCCCCTATTAAAGCCAAAGACATCCTGTTTTGGCTTCCCATTAGCCTAAGTCTTGTTATAAAAGGTCTTGCCAATTCTTTTCTTACCATGTGACCGCTCGACTTTCAGACATTAAAATGAACAGTAATTAGGGACAAGAGACTAAAATCAGGGATATGTCAAGGAGGAGCATATGTAACCTACACACCTTCTGGATGTGGTGTATTGTCCCATCTAGTGACACAGAGACCACTCTCAGAGTGACAATAACGAGTCTGATCTATAACCTTCACTAATAACCAGCTGCCTTTTAGTTTGTGTGGTAGATCAGGATGGGCAATAAGACAGAGGTGGTTTGCCAGAGTCAGCCCTTGTAAGGGTCTCTGCCATTGTAATTACTTGCGCCTCCACAGGTATGAGTCCTTGCAGCTCCTGTTGGCCGCAGATTGCCATTCCCGGCCAATGGAAACTGCGGGAAGTGGTGCGGGCTGAGCTACCATTTCTTGCAGCTCCCATTGGCTGGGAATGGCAATCCATGGCCAACGGGAGCAGCAAGTGCCCATACCTGTGGAGACGAAGGAAAATACAGCAAACCCAATCAGGCCTGTGAGTTGATTATTGACCACCACTGCAGTAGATGCTCTTGCACTAAGCACCGAAGGTCCCAGGTTCAATTCTAAAGGCCCCAGATTCAGTTCTTAATCTATAGCAGACGACTGAGATCTATAGGCATTACATACGTATTCAGAAATGCATACAAATGATGTGCTTATAGGCCAAAGAGAAAATAAAGAAGCCTATCAATTGGTACCTGGGGCTGTGACAGGCTTGTCTCCACTACAAAGTGGATCAATATTCTGGTGATCGATTCTCCAACAGTCTATTTAGCAAGTCTAGTAAAGACCCATTAAATTGACTGCTAATCATTCTCCTGTTGACTCTAGCAGTCCAGCAGAATGAGATGAGTAAGTAGAGTCAACAGGAGAGTTAATTCTCTCGATCCTCCCCCACCCCACCCCCGTAGTAAGTAGACCTCGTAGTAAGTAGATCTAAGCAACATCAGTTTGAGTTAGGCTACTAATGTAACTCAAATTGCATAGCTTAGATCGACCTGTCCTTGCAGTATACATCTGCCCTGAATCTAGACTAGATTTGTAGCTGAATCCAGTCATTTTTGGAAATGGAACTTAGCTTTCCAACTTACTTAGCCCTTGCACACTGAAAGGAGTAAATTGCAATGCCCAAAATACCATTACAGATCTGGGCATAAGGACCAAATTTAGCCCTTGGCTATAATAATTGTAAAGACAATGTGAAATCATCCTAACAAAACAGGAAATTTTCCTCCCAAATTCTAACCAGCTTGAAAACTGTTTCAACTAAACAGGAGCTATAGTGGAGACCAGGTTTGGGTAGCCTGGACTGTTTTTGCTGAATTGGTTTCAAAAGTCATTTAAAACCAATTCAGCAAAATCAATGGTTGTGAAATCCGGTGAGTGTAAATGGCTCAGGCCAACCCTTTGGCTCCAAGTAGTTTTAAAAATGGTTAGAATTTGTGGGAAAATCTCTCTGGTGTAGACAAGTTGTCTCTCTTTAGCCAGGATCCCTGTGCATCAGCTGGGCAGTGATTCTAATTTTGCATGCTGTCTCCCTGCCAGTCAAATTTGGATGTAGAGGACCTGGCAGTAAGAGTAGTTTGAGATCCACATTACCTCTGCACCTGCTTTCTGTCCATTCAAATAAGTAATTTTTAAGCTGTGGCTGACAAACACAGATGAGATTATTTAGATTCTTTTCACGTGAGTACAGAATGAAGTTTTCAGTATCAGGGCTGGCTTGCTTGCTATGTGCCCAACAAGGAAATCTCTCTGACCATCCATTTGCCAGCACACTATAGCTCAAACAGATTACCAACCAGGACACTGAAGGAAACTATTTTCTCCCCATTTATCCCGTAAGTACTAATCAACAGTGTGGTTAACTATGCCATGGTGGCATCTACCTGGATGTAGTTATCCAAGTGCTGACTTCAGTTTCTGGTGCAGTTTCAGTGCCTGAAACTTGCAATAGGAATGTTGCAGAATATAGCCTAGCTCCCTGTTCCTCTCTTTCATCTGCTTCTTCATGTTTTATGTCTTGATTGTTGAACACTAACTCATTTACTGTAGAAAAGGAGAGAAGTGAAAGGAGGCAATTTGGAGGCAATAATTAA